ATATTCCTGGAGTCTATGGAAGAATGGGTTTGGATGGGTCTTTGGAAGAATGGGTCTGAATCTGACTTATGTTTCAGTGCAAGTGAAGATTTGCCTGACTATTTGAGTATTATGATGCCATACGTTATCAGATAAAGAGGTTCAAATTTGGTCCTTTAATGCTGGATAGGTGAAAACTCTACATTCTAAAACTTACCACAGTTGTTCATGGGAGCCCTAAAAATCAGGATTTAGCACTATATCATTTTCACTGAGTGGAAGATTTTTAAAGACCTCAGAGTTCTACACACTGCCTGAGATTTTACGTCTCTTTTTTTTCCTTGTACTAAATTAGCACTATAGTTTAGACATGCTTGATTTTCTTAAAACTAAAACCTAGAACTTCTTCAAATATAACACAAGACATATTTTTAAGCTAAATCCATTTCCAAATTCTTCTTTGAAAGACATTCAAATGAATGAATTTTTATCATTCCAATGACAAATACAAACACAAACACAAAGCTTTTTTCTTAAGGGCATTATATAGGTATGATAAATACTTCTCTTTCTGAGGATCCAAAATAACTTGATATATATTATGCCCATTCCTCTAGGTGTGATTCAAAGGATGGGAACATTTACTAGGCAGTGTCTGTAACAAGGTGGTCACAGGAAATTTCAGCCTCATGAGTGCCAACAAACTTAAGGCAGACACAGATGTCAAATAAATCTGATGGGAAACTGCAGAAAAACTCAATAAAATGTACATCCCTGAAAACCACTTGAGGAACATCCATTGCCACTTCTATGTGTAAGTAAAAAAACTTAATTCACTTTTTCTTAATTCAGAAAGTCCTCTGTGATTACTTAGAAAGAAATTTATGGGTGCATAATTCTGTTTCTCCAACCACTCCCTAGAATGGAATTTACATTTTTAATGGTTTAATTGAAAGAGTGGACAGAACCCCCAGAATTCATTTCAGTCACACCTAAAATAAATCTGCCAACTGAACAATGAAAAGGAAAAAAAGCCTGCTATGTCAGAAAAGTAAAATTCTTCACACTGGTCAGTCCCCTTTATCTTCAGGATAAAGTAATATAAATCCTACTGTATACCAAGAAAGTTTAGATAATATAATTCTACAATAAGAAAATTACAAAGCACTTTATTTTTATATGTAAAAATAGTACTACTTCTGAAGAGACAGGTCTAGAGAGCAGATACCTTTGCTTAAAGGATGCAAAGCAATGAGGGAAGATTAGGGTTGCAAGAGGCCTTATCAGAAAAGATAAATCCAACCTTCAAATTTAAGGTATTTATTTTTACTAACACCAGCAGGGGTTATTTCCACATAAGTCTTAAGTCTTTAGAAATACGAGGTAGAAAAAAGAAAAACCAGTCCTGCATTTTGAACTTCTGATGTATTCTTACATTTACAAATATCAAAGTAATGAAGTAATGAAACATAGCAGATGTTAAAATACAGTGCCTGAAAGTCACCTTGAAACACTTTTCAGATGATCTGCCACTTACACTGCAGTTAAAAGCAGATTTAGTCCACATGACTTAAAATTTAGAGTCTGTAGCCTGAGACTTGGGAGTGTTCTGAGGGGAAAGCCCTACACAAAAAGCAAACAAAGAAACAAAAAAACCCAACTTTAAAAAGTAAAAGTTCTGAGTATCAAGACTGGTTTAACAAGAATTTTTCTCTTTCATTATTATAACCAAATAAGTTTTCCTTGAGCAGAAAGAAAAGTTCCCTGTAAGGGCACTTGAGCATGAAGCACTGCACAGATGGACAGCAGCAGTTTCCACCACACATGAGGATGTGGGGCCCTGCACACACAAACCACACCTCCAGTACCTGAACATGGGCAGGAAGGCATTGTCAACTCTACATTTAAGGACTCACAGAAAGTGGGTTTCCATCATACCACAAACCTTTTCCCATTTGGCTTTCCTGGAAGCTGGGTTTTTAACAAAGCCCTCAGAGAGACACCACGCTCAGGTATCTGTCTCAGCAGTTCTGTAAAGGGGATTTGGGGAGTTATTGCCCTTAAGATTGCAATCCAATTGTTCCTCTGGAGCAGAAATATGCCTCATAGCATGACTGCATCTTGGCATCTCTAAATCTGTGTGGTTGCCATCAGCCTGACACCACAGAAGCAGCTAACAGTACCTAGACAGCAGATACTCTTCACCAAGCTCTGGCAGCAGCTGTGCCACTTGGAAAGAAATGTGAAGGAGCTGGCCCAACAGGCCATGGTTGTTTTCAAAGACATGCAGAAAACAGTCAAGGAGCTCCTAATCAATTGCAGAAGGACAAAAACTGCACTGGGATCTCTAGTGAGGCACAGTCTGATCACTGTCTCCAAATCCTCATGGAGATTTCTGTGTGAGCAAGACAGAAGCAAATGTTTCATCTGGTATGCTCAGTTTTCAACCACTCCGGGTAGAATCAAACTGGTAGGAAGCCTTAAACTTAATTATAACAATGGTCAGACAGCGATTTGGATGAAAACAAATCCAAAGGCAACAGACCCTGTTTTAATGCCAATTGTCTCAATCTGGTGTGCACATGACCCACCCACCCCCTCAGCTGAGCTACAGTAAAAAACCATCTCAGCTTCAGTGTCCCAGACTAACAGCAGAAAGTGGTGGAACAATTCACACAGACACACTGAGGCACAGAGCACATAAACTTATCTCCTGATTTTAACTGTCTTCAAAATACACTGAAGAATCTCTTTAAGAAGCTCTGAAAAAAGGCTCTGGGATTATCTACCCTTCTTTGAGCTTCCAAGCATCACCTGTTTGAATGCTACTGTGATTTTCTTCTTTCAGATCCTACCAGTGTGAGGGCCACTACTGCACTCAACAGACACTGTCTGCCTGCAGTCTGTGTTTGAGGATGGTCAGCAGTTTGCTTCCAGTATTAGGGAGTGAGAAACTGATAGCCCCTGAAGGAAAAACAAGGAAGTAATTACAACACTTGCATCAACATTTACTTTAGACAGTCAAGCCATGGATGTGGAGGTGCTCAGATCATGGTCATATATTCAAAAAATATATGTGGAAGAGCAAAATCTGAATAACAGGAAGGCAAGCAGCCAGGAAGTGCTGAGAACAAAAACTATTAAGCAGGTCTACTGAAACAGGTGTTCAAGCACTGTGACAAACACTATCCAAATTCCACTAAAAGGCTGCAGCAAGGTGGCAGAAGATGAGTTCACAGTGTGCAATTGACTGGCAAAAAGAATTGCTAGGAGAGAAGAGAAAAACTGCTTATGAAATAAAGTAGAGTCTACTGACAAGAACCAAAGCTGCAGCAGAGCTCATCATGACAATATCCTAGAGCAGAAGGGTGGGCTCGGGCGCTGAGGTATCAAGAGGACACAACCAACCCTGTTACACAGATCAGAAGCCTCAAAACTCCCAAAATATTCAAATACCAGATTTACAGAAAGTGGTTTAGATGCCTGAAGAGTCTGAGAGATTTTCAGGAATACTTCAACACCTAACTCCATTTACAGTAACAGATACTGGGCGCCCACGCACCTCTGAAAAATCACACAGGATATTTCACAACTGAAAGATTCTGGACAATGTCTGAAAACTTGGCCACGAACAGTTAGGCCTTGGAAGCACACGAACAAAGAACTCATAGCCAGGATTTCCAAACCTCTGGGCTAGAGAACTACTCCAAGGGTTCTCCCATTGACATTTTCTGGGGCAGAGAAGGAAAGCACAGGGAAAGAAGGCAGGCCCCTGCTGCTCATCTGAAGTAATTCACAAATCCCCTTTTGTAGCGATCCTTATGCCCTGTGAAAAATGCATGTATTTTATAACTGGCTTTTCGCAAATATTAAAATGAATATTATATGTGTTGTGTTAGAAAGTAATGCTGTATTAATTCTCTTAAGTAGCGTGTTAAATATAGTTTTAGGTTATAAAAAATGTTTAAAAAGAAACTATGCTATGGAGGATATTTTTAAAGAAAGGACTCGCACCGAGACAGCAGCCACAGGACACCTAAATCTTTCAGAGAAAAAGAATTTATTGCCCTCTTATCAGAAGAAATGAACTTCTTCCTGCCTCGAAGGCGCTGTTAGGATTCAGAGGAAGAAGCTGAGGATGACCAGATAGAATCCCCTATTTGAATGGAATTTATGCATCACGTATGGGGTGTATGAATATGCAACAGGCTATTGCTTTTAAGGGTTAATCCTTTGTTAACGGGTGTCCTTTTTCAGGCTTGTGCTGCCCAGAAAAAGGTACCTGGATGTCCGTAACTCTTTGTCTTTATTGTCTCATATTGCCCTAATTCAAATTTTCCAAATTATTATTACTCTAATTGTATTACTATTTTTATAACCATTTTATTACTATTAAAGTTTTACAATTTTAAAAACAAGTGGTTGGCGTTTTTCACGTGCCCCATCATTAAGGGCATCACCAGCGCCACACACGGTGTCAGTGCTGCGGCACAGGGAGGGCTCGACAGGGCAAGCAGGTGAGGGGGCAGATGAAGGAAAGAGAAGGCAGGTGCAAGTCAGAAAAGGCAGGAAAGGGTAGGAAAGGGCAGGAGAAGGCAGGTGCTGGCAGGAGGAGACAGGTGAGGGCAAGTGAAGGCAGGTGGAAGCAGGTGGAGGCAGGAGGAAACAGATGAAGCTGCCGGCAGCTGGAGGCAGGAGAATGGCGGCAGGTGGAGCCGGACCTCGAAGGGCCCATCCCTGCAGCCACGCTCCGGCCGGGCTCTGCCGCCCGCTCGGCCAGCGCAGCTCCTGGCTGTGACTCGGGGCTGGCAGGGCTCGGACCCGGCTCCGACCCAGGGCTGGCAGGGCTGTGAGCCAGCCGGGACCAGCCCCGCTCCTGCCGGCCGGCCCCAGCCCGTCCCCGCTCCCCGCCGGCGCGGCCTCACCCGGATGTGGATCCGGCCGCCCCCCCGCTCCCCGCGGCCGAGGTCACCTTGATGCCTCCGAGCTGAATTGTCTGTCCCCAGGCTGGGCTGTCTCACCTTGTGTAAACGCAACTGATGGCGTCAGATAACTTCTACAATACGAGTTGCTTAATGAAGGAAACAACCTTGTGTTTGTAGCATTGCGTAAGATTGCATCACCGGATAAATATGCATTAGGTAGGCGGAGAGCGTGGATTAGATAGGCGGGTCCATGTGAGTTGTGCTTTACAAAGGATTGCGAGTTATTACCACCTGAGCCGTGGTTTGTGGTAAGCCCCACTGTGCGCCCTTTAGAGAATAAACAGTATTCATTCTGTAAACTCTCTAGACTGCTCTGTTTGTGTTTAGGGAGCGCCTGAAGTCGGGAACAGCCCCCGCAGCGCCGGGCGCTGCTGCTCATCCCAGCCGGGCTCGGGGCCGCCCCCGCCGCTCGCTGATCCTGCCGGGCAGCTGCTACAGTCACAGCTGGAATCACAGCTGGCTGGAATCATGGCTGGAATCAACCCCGGCATCACCCCGGCCTTCGATGGAGCCTCTGCCCCTTGCCCTTTGGTTCCCGGTCCTTGTTCGCTCACCTAGCCCGACTGTAGGCTCGGTAAGTGGCAGAGGAGCAGCGGTGTCTCTTCAGTGTCATCCCAGAATCGCAGCATCCCGAGGGTTGGAAGGGACATCTGCAGATCATCCAGTCCAACCTCTGTGCCAGAACAGGGTCACGCAGAGCAGGTGGCACAGAGGTGGGTTTGGAATGTCTCCAGAGCGGGAGTATCCACACCCTCCCTGGGCAGCTGTCCCAGTCCAGCTGCTCCATCCTCAATGGGAAGGAGCCCTTCCTCGTGTTAAAAAGAAACTTCTCGTGTTTTACTTTATGGCCTTTGCTCCTCATCCTTTCAGTGGGTACCACTGGAAAGAGTTTGGTCCCTGCTCTTGGCACTCCTTTGAGATACTTATCTGCATTAATGAGGTCCCCTCTCAGAACTCTCTTCTCCAGAATAAACAGCCCCAGCTCCCGCAGTCTCTCCTCACCAGAGGCCTGCTCATCACTTATCACCTTTGTGGCCTTTCTCCTTGTCTTTCTTGTGCTGAGAAGCATGGAAATGAATCAGGAACTGGCAGGACAGTGGGGATCACGCCAGCCCTGGGCCGGGCAGGAGGAAATAACCCTTTGTACCATTCTATGAAAGGACATGGAATAAAGAGGCCAAAGGAAGGGCAAGCAGCTGGGCTGTGAATGACACATTGTGATGAACTGGAAAACAACTCATTAATTTCACTACCAACCTCTTTTGTGAACAGAACTGTGTCAGTATCAAGTAGAAAGATACTTAATGAACAGTACATTAAAGATCATGGAATGAAAAAGATGTAACATTATGCCACTGGAGCAGTACCTTGCAGCAGTTTCCTGTTCCATACTCCATGAAGAAACATAAGATCACAGAATTACAGACTGGTTTGGCTTCCAAGGGACCTTAAAGCTCATCCAGTTCCGCCCCTGCCATGGGCAGGGACACCTTCCCTCTATCCCAAACTGCTCCAAGCCCTGTCCAGCCTGGCCTTGGGTATTTCCAGGGATGGGGCAGCCACAGCTTTTCTGGGCAACCTGTGCCAGGGCCTCACCAAAATATTACTAAAATGAAGAGATGTTATGGTGTAGGTTTTGTGTCCCATTATACCTAACTGCCGTGTTCCTGAAGGTATCTATAGGACATGATTTTTTGGAGGGCTAAATAGCATACAACTTTATCAGTCTTCTAAGATACACCATGGGAAAAAAAGCTTGTGCCTGTGTGCTGACACTATAAAATTTGACAGTTTGATAGAAGTTTCTGAAATCATTCATACTCAGCAGACAAAAGAGCAGTTAAGGGCTTGTTTTCTGCATTAGTTAATCTTCTACTGCAGTGTTATCCAAGCTGAAGACCATTATATCAGTCAGTCAGATGGTAGAATTTCTTCTTGGATGTAAAGGGGGGAAAAAAATCTCCCTAAAAACACCTTCTCAATATTCTATATTAATGTTGGTACATTCAATAGGTTTTATAAAGTTTTAGTCAGTAGTTATTTGGTTGATTTCTGTAATTCTAAAAGTGAACATTTAGATTCTCAGGACTTCAGAAGGTTCTTTCCAGGGTGGCGTTCAAACCTGCTCTGAGGCTTGGAGTGCCTGCTCCTGTTTTGTCAATAAATTGAAGATTTCACTTATTTTTACTATCAAATTTTACCATATTATTCTCTTTGTACAGATCAATGTAAATTTGGATTACTGAAGGCAGTAATCCACAAGTATGTTACATTTATCATCAATGTGTTCTTGTATTGCATCTCTAGCATGTTCCTTTTTTGTTTTAGAATCTGCTATACTGTTTTTAAAGAAGGGATAAATGTATTCTGGGCAAAAAGCCAAAAAAAAGTAGCTCTTACCAAGCCAAATTAGATAATTACCATTTCACTCTGTCTTTAAAGCACAGCTGTCCCTTTTGGGTTGTGAAAATTATTATTTAATACATGTAACCTTACACTTTTGTTCTTATTGAAAGAAAAATGTCCCCTCAAAATGTAGACTCCTCTAATTAGCTTATTTTCTCAATTTTGAAATTTAATTGAAGTAAATGTATTCCTTGTTACAATTATTATTATTATTAATATTATTATTATTATTCCTAATTTTATTTTATCTTTTTATGACCAATACCAGATTTCTCTTTACTTTTTTTTTCCATGTCAGAATTTGGTAGATGAGAAAGATGAAAGCACTTCTGTTTTGATTTTCCACTGAAGCGGCTGCATTAATTTTGTATCTTCTATCCTTAATTTATATACCAGAAGCACAAGAGAAAAGTGTGCCTAGTATACTAGAACTGTTCCAAAAAAGGATTCAAATATTAAGGGGTTTTTTGTGTATGATTATATTTAACTTGTCCAAAAATCCATTTCAACATCTCTTCCACACAATTTAGATCTTTGTAACACAGCCCTCTATCTCTGGTTGGGATTTTTTGTTTACTTGTATATTTGGGGTTTTAAGGCTATATTTTTCAAAATATCTGTATTTTTGGTTTCCTTGGGGTGTGATGTGGTTTTGTTTTGATAATCATCTTCCTATCTTCCCTACTGATTTGCCACATTGTAGTCCTTGAAATCAGCTGCTCTTGGTGAATCTACTTCAATTTTTACTTCATCTGACCTGTCTCAAGGCACCCATGAGCTCACTTTGAAAATCTCCCTGGATAATGCCCCTTATATTTTAGGAGTATTTCTTGTTGTAGCAAGCCCTGAGGAAATAGAGCCAAAATTTTATTACTGTCCTGCGCTGCATTTCATTGAATACCTCAGTTTGGTCAGACTGTCTGTATAAATTGTTGGCATTTTTTCCAAAGTAGTATTGATTCTCAACAGCCACTGTATTTTGGGAAACTGAAGGGCAAAGAAGCAAAACGGAAACAAGAAAATCCATTTGTCTCAGCCTCAGACTCATTCCTTGAAGTGGACAATTTATTAAGTGCAAATTCAGCAAGTAGAGAAAAAAGCAAGAGGAGGAAAGACATTGCAAATTATCCACTGATTACAGCTTTTAGAAGGAATCAGGAAGAAGAAGCTGTATGGGAGGCTTGTATTTTGGCTTAAGGTTGCATGTAGTAAATAGCAAAAGGTTGATTGTTTATATTTTTTAGCTGTACTCAGCTTTAAACTGTGTTTCTCTCTAAAGCTTTATGAAATATGAAAAAGACCTTTCATGATACTTTAAAACAGAAGGTCCAGCATAATTGCACCCAAAATAGTTTGAACCAATCCAAGACCAAAAAACATCTTAATTGGGGCTGAATGTTATTGTTTTGTCTCCTAGAGAGCAAAGTTTATAGAGATTCCTGTCAGTTCTGGAACTTTTTTTTATTTTTAATTCATTCAGCCTTACATGGTAGCACTGGGTAGTTATAAATAGGTGGATGATATCCCCCTTCATTTGAGCATTTTTGTGTGGTATGAAGCCAGTCATATTTGTGGGTCTTCCAAAGCAAACAATGTTTGTAATGCTGTTGGACTGGAGGCTTTTTTTAAATCCTAGTAGAGAAATAAGCAAAACTGCTAAACAAGCATGATTTTTAAAGTAGATATGGATTGATTTACCACTATTAAATGCTATCATTAACCTACAGGGCTGACTTCCATACTGAGGGAAGCTGGTGATAGAACACAACAAAATGAAGTATTTACTTTTCTTACCCTGAAGCAGATGGAGACAATGGGGCGTGGGACAGTGAGATGCTTTATATGAAAGTTAACCACTATTTTTTTTTCTTTCAAATACAGCCAAACTTTGGGAATCTAAAGTCTTTATGATGCACTGTTTGGTGATCAGCAGGGAAGAATGGACCAAGTTCATTTTGTTGCAAAACTACCATTTCCACAACAAGAACCAACATGCTCTCTCATTCTTGTGACCACTATTAGGAGCAACGTCCAGTCAGCTTGAAACAGCAGGAGAAGAAAATGCTGTATTAACTGTCAAAGTAGCCATCATGTGTAGGATAATTTAGTCTGTTTCAACTTAAAATCTCTGATTTTTACCCTACTGAGCTACTCACATACTAAAGACCTCACAATTGGCAGTAAAGCAAAAAGTGTATTTGTTGCTAGACCACAATCCAGCTTAGCAAAATTCTGCCACCCTTTTCTACCCACTAAAAAACCCACAGTCAAGGCATACCATACTTGTTTGCCTTTTAGGGTTTTCTAGGAAAAAACATAGTATAGAAGTCATTGTCATTTCCTTTCAAGAAAATTTACTAAAAGTAGACAGTTAAAAAACTCTTGCTGTAAAACAAAAACGACTATAGAGTAACGTTTCTCCTCTACCTATTAAAATATATTTCTTCTCTTTGATGACAGTAGCAGAACCCAGAGGCCACATTCTAAAGTGCTGGTTTTTGGTTTGGGGTTTTTTTTCACCATTTATAGAATCTGTTTATTGGCAGAAATGCCAAGGTTTCTGCAGCTTCACCAAGAATCATTCTGGTAACATGTTGTACTGTACCTGCCATCTCGAGTCATGCAGTCTTGTCCTTGCAGTCCATTACTAGTATCTGCCTAAGTAACCTTCTCTAATTATCACAGCTTTTGTGCA